ATTCCTTTCTCCTTTTCCTAAGTATTCCATCAGATTCAGTTGTCTGAAAATTGTGAAGGGGTGGGAACATCAAATATCAACATCTATCAGTCTTCTAAATGTGACTGTTTAGAGGTACCACTATTTACATGGTCTACTTCTCTGGTTTTCTTCACTTCCAATCGAAGTGCGAACACATATTTGCTGTGGTAGGGCAGACTGCACAGAAAGTAAGTGTACGCAGCCTAGTGAACTTGCAGCAGACCCAAGAATTTCGTCAACTTATTTGTACGTCAGCCGTTCCACAGTCAATGATCAATTTATTTTTCCGTGCGGACTGAAACACATAGTGGCCAAGAGACAACAGCTCGGCAGCTTCTTTGTGGTGCGATCATCCACTTGTACTCTGTCTTCAAATCCTCGTCAATAAATACATTTTTTTAGCAGCCGTAAGTGTTACATTCTCCCTTCACTAGTTGGGGCGATCTGAAGAGTAGCCTGAACCCCACGTTACATGGGTCAAGCTAAGGAGTCAACAGGTAGTATGACTAGAGCTCAGGTTTAGCAGGATTGTTAAACACACATCAATCGTGGGCGTTTCACCTAGTCAAAACCAACTGGAAGCAACTTCAAGCAGATTGACTAACTTGCTTCCTTGAGACCCCTTAGTAACTGTTTCGGACGATCAGTCTGTGGAGGATAAGTCACGTATTTAACAATTAACATATGCAAGGTTGTCAGCCACGTCTCATAAACCGTTAATGCCCAGCTCTTGCTACGCTCGGGCCAACGCTGTTCCTTGCAGCTTTTCAGAAACGCTTAGTAATAACGGACGAAAAAACCAAAAGACCGATTGCCCACTCGAGAATTCTTTATTGTTACACCAACATATAAAAATAATGTTTTTACTAGAGTCTGTGAACAAATATTACAATAATAAATCACAAAATTACTTCTGATGGTTTACTGCTGACTTCTTTCTGAACAGCGACCGATGAGACGATGACTGTCGTATTGATGCCTCCGCGAAAATTGGGGAAGTTGGTTTGAGCAAACAACCATGAATTGATCGTTCAATCTTCAACTGCATTGACACTCCCCGGCAAAAAAGGGATCCATCCCTTTTTTCCTTCACGACCAATACACTTTGACTTGGATGCCATTGCGAGAACCTGGGTCACACGGACAGAGCTGAAATGGAAAACAAACAGAAAAGCCAACACACCACAAGCATACCCACAGCACAATCTCACACATCGCTGACGACCTGCGCCTCCAGATAGAGACCCCCTCTTGACATCTTGCAACACAATCGCCACTTGCTAGAATGACTCTTGCAGAATGCAACGTGACCATAGCACCACCTCATGATACTCTACGCACATCCTCTTATCTACTCACTACCAATTACCACTGAAATCGCTTGTCACTCATTCTGCCTCAGTTCTAGTAGCGGTGACGCATGCGAGCCTCAGTCGTTTACACTCTTTCTCCCCGGCGTGTCGGACCGCAGCTAACAATTATCTCCGTATGCATTTCATTCTCAGCAATAGCCTAGCCTCCCCGGCGTATACGACCCATCTGCTGTCCTTAACATCAATCAATTCATTCATGGATGTAGAAGACTCGAAACAACTTCAGAAGTAATCACGACGAAAATTTTAAAAAAATTACGCAATAACAACAAGACACGAAAACAACGAGTAAACACAATGAATCCAAATAACACCAATTGATATGACACACCACACATATATACAAACAGTACAAACAAACTCGCAGATCGTGTCTCCATGTAATTCCTTTGAAGAATCGCAGGACTTACACCAGTACGCCTGCAACCCTTCACAGGTTGACGATTGTAAGTTGTGGAATGTCCGGACACAAACAAGATTAACCAACAATTACATCAATTGGAACTCACACAATTATTTAACACAAACATATGTACAATCAACACATCAAATGTTGTGGATTCTGGCACGACAAACTACCCTTGAAGAACTGTAGGACTTACAGCAGTACGCCTACATTCCTTCTCAGGTTGATGATCCAAGTGGAAGTCGTCCGGACACAAACAGAATTACCAACAGCTAGATGACAGATGATATCAATTCAGTATATACAATATGAACATATGTACAAAATCACACACCAAGCACATTGGACTGCTCATTGATGCGCTACCCTTTGGAGAATTGTAGGACTTACAGCAGTACGCCTACAACCCTTCTCAGGTTGACGCCCTAGGTTGGAAAATCGTCGCAGAGTTCATTTGCTAACTTCCTTCTATGAGCTATATCCTCAAATCTGAACGGTAACACGCTCATGTCATTGTATCGTAGAATATAGATGACGAACAAACACACGACGTATCTGGTCAACCAAGTGTAGAAACAGAGTAATTTACACCAAAGATAATAGCATTCAAATAGTAACTTGAAACTAGAAATGCCTTTATTCATGCAAGTCAATTTAACAATTACTCTCTCGTTTACACTTGGCTTATTCTCACTAAACTGAGCAAACGCACCAATACTATCATAGTCATTGCATAAGGCACGTGAGTTCATGGACATCCATTTCATTGTGGATGAAAACACCAACGATGACTGAGTGACACAAGGTGATGAACTTAGCGGTGGATCAGAAGCTGTTCTTTTTCGGCTTTCAGATAGTTGTCTAACTGCAAGATTACCACCACTGCTGTCTTTCACTACTAGTTCGGGTTTAGCACTATCATCTGATGATAGGTGGGCTACACGCTGATCAATTACACTGACTGTCTCACAAGTATGCACACCTGGAACTGCATCTGCGTTCAATTCTACTTCACGTTGTAGTTGTACAGAACCTTTATTTAACTTAGCAGTAGTAGGCATTCCCCTCATTTCATCATGATCAACCAAAGACAAATGTGAAGTATCATGATCATTATCATGAATATTCACTTTACCGTCAAGTTCATCATTTTCAAACTCTTTGTTAACAGCAGTAGACAATTTTGGTTCCTCCTCACAAATCATTAAAGGTTTTATATCTTCACTCTGACTAGTTATACTTTGTAAACTTTTGGAGTCAGAACTGCACTCTGAAGCAGTAACTCTATTCTGTGACACTCTATTCAACAATGGCTTACCAGTTGTAACTACAGACTTCTTCACCGCACCGTTATCGTCACACAATTCGGAGTCAGGCCTGGAGTTTACATTTAGCTTATCACTGAACTTGCTCACTGGTTCACAGTTCACTTCTGTATGCACCTCTTGCAAACGTGTAAAACACAACCGTGTTTGTCTTGCATCTTGTAACTTATCTGTTGAGGATGTACTACGAAACCTGTTGCACTCACTAGGTCTATATGCATTACTAGACATCATGGAGCCTTCTCGATATCCACCTCTCTGAGGCCTACTCGTCATCAATGATTGCATTTTGCTCTAAGACTGCTCTATTCTAAGGGTGAGATGTAATAGACTGGCGAACTTGCTTATAGATTGATTGACACTATCTTTTACTAGTTTCAGGATATCATCAAATTTTGGCTCGATACCCTCATCCTCCATACGGGAGCTTATCTTCACCCACTTCCTTTGCAGTCGAGTAGGTAGGCGTCTTGCTATTACTTCTAGTATAAAACTCGAGTTGAGGTCACTCATGCGATTCATCGAAATCATTGCATTCTTGTAAATTAGCAAATTATCTAAAAACTCAGTGAGTGTCTGGGAGTCATCCTGTAATTGACCACCATTACCCTTAACTAAATGTTTGGTTGAAATGGTTGGTTACGCAGATTACACTATAGCTGTGCTAACATTGAATTCGACGTTTCTGTCAATAAACGTTTGTGACTTTGCTTTAACTGTGCAAGATCATCATACAGCCTCAAGAAATAAGAAGTTATTAACCCAGTAAACTTGTAACATACTAGTAGGAGATGACACCATTTAGATTATCGTATATGACCGTCTAGGAGTGTAGAATACACTGTAATGTTATGAATTTTCTCAGGGTTTGTAGTATGTTTGTCAGGCGAAATCCATGTTGCTTTTTGTATATCTTTGTGTTTGTACACACTCCTTCCGATCTCCAAAATCACTGAAAGCTCAGAAGTCTGCGAATAATTCTCTGTCATCATTCATTTCTCCAAGCCCCAGCCTCTCAACCCATGATGAGTTCTCCTCCTGTATTATCTGCTCCTATTTCTGGTGGCATTCATGTCTCTTATAAGGATTCTGATGCCACCATTTGGGATGTTGTCCATTACTGTTTGTAGTTGTAAAAATTCTCCTTCTTTTCTTGTTCCGCGTTGTTTGAAGGTGCGTGGCGTTGGACAATTGGTATCTTCCTTCCTTCCTTTGGAGTTCAATCTTGTTGTCATGATTCTGCAAGAGAAAATTCTTCGATTGCATTCAGGCCTTGGCTGCCACTGGTGACATCATGATAGCCACTCCCTCAGTGTGTTTGTGGTTGTCGTCTGAGTGACCGGAGTAGATAATTGACTCTGTCGTTGATAACGTTGTCAATCCACACACAATCCATCTGCTTTCGCAGATACCCAGTATGTCTAAGCCATATCTTCCCATTTCTTTGGCTACCTAGGCAGTCTCGTACATTGTGTGGTCATTTCACATCCCCATTTTTACCCTTGCTTTCATCGAGAGAAGATACAACGGCAGACTGGCTCCTCGAAGGTGGAGTTTCAACAGTCTGCCTCATTTTGCCTCTGCAATTCGTGTCGAAATTTCTCTAGCGGTTTGAAAGATTCAGTGGTGTGGGGTTGCTAGCCCCATGCCCAACACTCCCTCTTTACCCGTGCTTCGGACCGGCTAGAAAACTAGCCAGCTTGTTTACTAGGTTAAGTTCAATTTTTAGACGACTGGAATTTGGGAACGTTTCTAGCTAGTAGTATTCGATATTCAACTCTAAAATAGTGCACAGAAACTTTGCGCTAGCTGTTATCTGTCTATTTCGTACACTTCACAGACTCAGAGTAACTTCTGAGAGATAGACGAAGTGCAATGACTTATAGACCGGCAGTATCACTCATTGTTGCATCAGTTGGTTTGCGAAGCCAATTTGACCTACACATCGAGCAAAAATCGATGAGGACGTGCCACTTCGCAAAGCACGACAAGGTTTTTTGGGAGCAAGGACCAGCCCAACAAACCTTATTTGACTGGACACTAGTTAGTAACAAGTGTAATGTGTCCGGCACTTTCTTCGGCGCAGAGTGAATTCTGTCAGCCAGGTTTGCAATGTCGCCACCATTCAAAGTGTCTCACCATCATAATGCACCTTGAATTGTTGATATTAGATTGTTGGGGGCCAACCGCAGGGAATCTTGAACCTACGCTTCGTTCTAGTTGGCACTCGTCAGCAAGGCGTATTCTTAACCGTCAAGGAACTCATGTACATTCTCTATCTTCTTCATCAGTTAATACTGCTACTATCAGCTTGCTTGCCGATTAAAGTTGATGAGTAAAGGGTGAGAGGACTAAATCCATCCGCAGAAGCACCACAGTCGTAACATACCACATAATGAAAATCGCAAAAAACCGACCTATCCCACCACTACATTAGGGACTTACTGAAACTTTGGTTTTTGAGAGATCGAAGTTCAGGGGCCTTCACTTAACTGTCAAAAAGCCAAATCAGTCCAAACTAGCTTGTATGAGGTCAATAGGTTATTGAAGCATTGAGCGTGAGAATTGTGCGCAGAGGGAATATTGACTTTTCAAGGTTACTCTGTCAGGCAGCCTGAATATTAGTCAAAAGTAATTCTGTTTTTTTTTTCAAGATGCTTTTTTGAAATACTAAGATCAGCTTTTGGCACAAAAATTTCATTAATAATCTATTGAGTTTTAGTCCTAAATAAACGTAAATTTATCCCTAGACTTTGTTACATTACTTATTGTAGACTCAGGTAATAAGGATAATAGGTTTACACGTTGCGTTCAGCTGATGTATCCTCCACATCTTGACTGACAATCGAAAGCATATAGCACTGTGGTTACTGTAATTCGCAACTTCTTAGGAATTGCGAGGAAATGATGCCTAGTATCTTTCTTAATTAATGTTAACAATATCTTCTAATTGCTACTCACTGGAAGTGCCTTTACTGTTAGCCTTGTCTGAGTTTTAGTTGCTGTCCACTTACAACAACATAGTCCGTTTGAAAATTACGGTATCTATGGATAAGTGCGTTGTGGGTGAATTCAGTCTCATAGTGTAGAGCCCAGTTAGGATTTTCTCTGGTTCCGCTGCAGACACTTCGGTACAGAACTTTTGGGTTCAGGGAAGATAGCGGGATAGTTGTCTGCAGTCTTCCCCGAAATGTTTGCACTGGACCATACGTTTTTCAAGTTTTGCATAAACCGGAAATATTTCACTGTTGTGAGAAGACTGCATATACCATACAACAATGTTACCGACAGTACTAAAGCTAAATTAGGTTCGAACTCTTCCACTGTACGCATAAGTTACTGAAGTGGGAGATAGCTTCGAAACTGTTTGCAGTGCTCCTGCACACATAGTCAATGCTAGTTGGGAGACACTGGCGAAGTTAAACTCTGTGGATGGCTGGTATAGTTTGACTTCGCCGATGCATTCTTATCCAAATGCTGTGATGTCGAATGGACGAAAATTGTGTGCTCTCAACATGGTGGGTATTCGTTCTACACAAAATCTTTTCTCATGTTCGGGACTACTCTTCATACGTAAACTCGAATTTAGAGGGTAATAAATTTACATTTGAGTCTAGAAACGAACATGGGAAATTCGGTATATTATACTGTCAAGTAAAATAAACAGGAGGGGTTAAAATATGCGCCAGTGTTCATAACAGATACATTTAGCCTTAAACTTATCCCATCTGTTATCTGCGAAGATAACCCTGGTTGTCTGACAAACTCTAAGTAGTACGTAATAAAGCCCAGTTAATAAAATGAAACAGATAGTAGAGTTTGTGCTGAATAATTATCCCACGAATTTCGTCATGAATTGCAAAAACTCACAATAAAAAATAGCAGTGACACGTGCATTAGGAATGATTCAGCGCCAATACTGGAGACATGGAAAATATTACCAATAAAATCAAAGGGTAGAAAATAGTGGGATTATATGATCAGAGTTAAGAAGTGATGTGTGTACCTTGATATGATTATAATCAATAGGTTGTGCTCTGAACGTCATCTGTAAATAATAATATCACTTTTTATTAAATAAAATTCTATGATGGAACAATGACGTAGCCCCTTCTTCTGGGAAATATTTAGTATATGGCAGCTTAATATTCTTAACAGGTTTAAAGCTACACTACCATTTTTGCAGCAGCTCGGTCGATACCTGCTACCTTGGTATGGTGGTCGACCTCGCTCATCGTAGTCACTGAACAATCTATACTAGTTGGAATAGTTATTACTGAAGGCTCTGCATTTACGCAAAATCAGTCATCTACCAGATATTTAAAGAAGAAAGCTCTTTCAATATGAAGAGTTGATAAGAACAAGCTAATGAAATATTTGCATAAAACATAGGACCCATCTGTTCATCAATCACCCTTTCCATTATTGTCTTCAAGTCTACTGCTTCTTCTCATTGCTAACACTAACATTATTTAGGCTATATTACGTTTACTGTGATTAGTAGTAAGAATGTAAGTTTGTCAATTACCTTCCTACCACCTAAAGATCGGTTACACTACTGATCTCGAACTGAAACTTTCATTGGATTATATGCTAAATCTGATGGCGAAGCTTTGTAGACAAGACTCTGAAATCTGCAGCTATGGGTTTTGGTTTTATCACGTATACAAGATCCAAGTAAAATTACTTACCTAACATCACTTGGCAAATATGGTGTGTATCTGTCTGTTCTAGAAGCTTGAGTGGATACCCTGGTCATCGTGGACTTCCTGATGCAGGGATAGTAATAGGTTTTACAGTACAAAACTCACTGCTTAGCTGGATTCTAGCAATAAATCATGAAGCAGTCTGATACAATATCCAGTTTGCCGTATGAAATATCGAGTAGAATAGTTGAGAACTGTCAATCAGCGGTTGGCAAACGCCAGTGCGTTTCCCTAGTTTCATACGAACGGATGTGATCTAAACATAACGGGAAGTCCAATGTTCTTAAAGTGTAAGCTGACTGAAGGCATTCGTAGAGGTCACCATCAGTGGTGAATAATAAAATCTAAAACAATGAAAAAAGTATCAACATTATATCAAACCCCTTAACTAACTGGACTTATTTTGGAATAAAACTGGTAAGTGTAATGATGTTTGAAAAAGGTGGAACTTCATTAACTTCTCTGGACATTGTTGAAGGTTAGGATGACTGTCTTCAACTGAAAATAAGTGATGATACTTGGTATTCTAGCTCAAGCAGTGTTTAAGTGTAGCATTAAGCAATTATTGACCACGCTTCTCTTGTTATGTAAGTGCATTTACGTGATTGTAATTACACTTTCGTGAAAATTCGTGTCTTGAACTGATGCACTCCTTTGCAAAGCTAATTAGTTTATCGTAACAATATGCATTTATTCACAAGCATTTGTAATTCCTGATAGTATGGAGTTTTTTTTTGCTTGATTGTTTTATCGTTTATTGTGCAAGGCTGTACTCCTAGTTTAAAAGAATGTAAATATTAGCGTTATAAATTCCTCGAGATTTAAAATGATCATCTTTTTGTTATTAACTGATAGGTGGTTGTAACCTGTTAGCGTCATTTTATTCAGTCATGAAGAAAAGACCAAAACTTACTCTGATTTTCGATGAAGAGAAAAGAAAGTATGACGTATATACTTACCAAGTTTCAATTTGCTAGGGAATATCTCACTGGATTTCGAAAAAGAAAGCTAGAACGTAAGGAAAAAGGACGTTTAGCAGCAGAAAAGCAGTTAAAAGAAGAAATCAAGGCAGTCAAAGCAAAAGTAAATGGTGACTCAAGTTTTTTAAAATCGTTAGTACAGAGAAGCTGCTCGCCAAAAATTGGAAGGTATCCATTTGCCCGGAATGCTAGATTGTACTGAAAGTGTGCGTTCTTGTCAAAGTGAAATTATCGGCGGTCACAACGTTGTTATTCAGGAACTTGATATTTCTAATTGCCATTACTTTATGGGAGCTGCTTCCGAGGTATAATCATAATAAGTTCCATTTATAAGCTATTCAGGAACAGAAATCTGAACCAATCGATTGTGTTGAAGAGTAAGTTATTCCTTCTGTCGATAATTCATTATTACTTTCAGAACAAAAATGTCGCTTAAGAAAGCACTCAAAATGAATCCAATGAGAAGTAAAAAGCGATTTCGTCGTTCAAAGAAAAAGCCTTGTGCTAAGAATAGACGTCGACGCTAGCTATTTTCAAAAATATTCATTTTATATGTACATTCTTGTATATTAAACAATCCAATGAATACTTTCATGCAGTAGTGAATCTTTTAACTATTCTACGAACGTTTGTTGAAAATGATCTGTTTATTGACAGTACTGAACTGCTATACTATTAACATAAATTGAGAGTGTAAAATGAAATAGGGATTTCCTACAATATAAGAGAATAGATTGAGTGAAAAGTTGTCAATATCGAAAACAGTTCTCTACCTCCTGTGTTATGTTGTTTTCACTTCGCATAAATAGTGTAGGAGTGAAGTCTTTGAATGTACTGGGTTCTAACGTTTAGCTCCGTTATATATTTCGGCTATGATTCTACAAGTTGCGCATAAAATGGTGACTTACTTACCCTGACTGTATACGCAAGGTAGAAGACAATGGAGAATTTTCTTCTGTGCATACAAATCAGTGTTTTTCATCCTAATCTCTAAGGTCTTGGTGATGCAAAGTATACGGCAGCTTACTCCGATTTGTTTATTATAAATGGGTGCAAAGGCTAGATGCGTGTTATGCACTACATTGCCTTAAACAAAAGACTCTGTCTATCTGGATTCAACGTAGAACTTGGCACCGAAGTGCAGAAGTTCGAGTTGCCACGTTCCAAATAGCACACAAAGGTAGACAAGAAGATGAGTGAAGAGAATCAATAGAGTTTGACAGGTATAACAGCAAAACAGAGTGGGTAATGGTAGAAAGAAATATGAAAGATTACAGAGACTGAATACATCTGTGCCATTGACAACGATTTTGAGCCATGTGTCACCTATTTTCTCCAGCCATTGATTCCTAGAATCCCGAGGGCCCCAACCCGGAAGTCTGCATATCCCTACCTGACTCAGTTTAACTGTCAAGGATTTCTTGGATTGATGCCATGTTGATGATTGATGCCAAGACTCGAGACTAGTGCATATCGACAGATTTATAACTCAGCACTTGTTTTCAAAGTTAGACCACCTCCATCGTTTTTATTGAGTATATACTTTAATTGGACACTAGTTAGTAATTAGTATCATGCATACAGTCCTTTGTTTGGTGCAGAGTGAATTCTATCAGTTAAGTTTGCAATGTAGCCATCATACTAAAGTGGCTTGACATCACAGTACTCTCTGAATTGTTGTTATTGAATGGTTGGCTTCCCCTAACGATTGTCTCCGGCCATCTAATATTGAGTATGTGTTTGTTATTGTAAACCTATCGTATGAATCTGTGTGTTTAGGTTCAATTAAGCCTTATGCATTTAACTCATTAATGAGCACTACTCACATGGGGGTACTTATTTATACCGATGACTTCTTTATTTGATTTCAATATAAGAATACTTGTATGCTTGTTGCTTACTTCATAATAAAAAATATTGTCCATAATTGTGTGGCTTATTTCAGTAGTCCCATCTCCTGTTTATCTTGTAATGAAAACCACCTTCAATATGACCAGGTGTTTGATGTGTAATTTAATCAATACTTTATTTGTTGGGAATATTCACATCAAAATTGCAATAATACTTGATACTGTGCAGGTTATCTTCAGTTTGAATATCAAGGTATTACTTTTCAAGAGTTAGATTTTAAGGATTTGATCTCTTTCAGGTTGGTTCACGAATTGATATCAGTTAAAGAATCACTGAAAACCAGGGAGTATTGGACAGTTGTTTCATCCTAGTTTCGGATCCTTTGGCAGTACGCACCCATGGGGTTCAAACCAAAGATCTTTCGGTTACCGAGCAAGCCCGTAGACCATGCAGCATTTGGGACCCTATTCAGTGGCCTATGGATTTCAACTTCCTTGCGATTCGGGATTTTAGCACTGCCGCCACTCTTGAAAATTGGTCTGATGCTTGCCAGTGACTGGTTACAGGACATAGTTGTCCGGAATTCTGGCGAAAAATCGCAACCCATTAGGGTCCACTTGGTCGGGGAGGGGCGGGGAGAAATAGTTGCCGACGACGTTGGTTGCGCTAAAATCCTGAATTGGTAGGAGTTAGAATTCATAAGCCACTGAACCGGATCCCGGTGGCTGAATGTTCTACGAGCTCGACTTGTAGCCGGAAGGTCCAGGGTTTGAACTCTGGTGCGAGCATGCCGCTGAAGAGTCCCAAACTAGGGTGAAACAGCTTTCCAGTACTCCATGGCTGGTTTCCTAACATTCCTCTAATTGATGGCAATTCTTGATGAAACTTGAATCAAGGTATCAAGAGGAAGAAATGCAGTGTCTGTTGAATATTGAAGGTCATCCTATCATACGATTGTCATTTTAGTTTTTTAATTATTGTAGTGTATTCAATTGTAGTCTGTCTTCCCTTAGGTATGTAATTCAATCATATGCCGTTTTTCTAACGTTTTACTCTCTCTTAACAGTTAACCATATCGATGTAATAATGCTTGACAAGTTATGAGTAAAGGACTAGCACCGAGTAAAAGTACAGTGTACATTAGCAATCTACCATTCAGTTTAACCAATAATGATATTCATCAAATACTACAACCATATGGTAAGGTTGTCAGGTAAGTCTGAGCATATTTCATAATTTAAGTGAATATTTAGTTTTATTACCTGGTGCATGTTATCGCAAATTTACTTGGCTACATGCTGCAGTCAGGATTTATAAGCTTAAAGATCATAGGTTGCGTAGGGAGATGGGTAAAAATATTCTTCTTTATTAGATTTAAGGCACACAGAAAATGATTTAACGCTTAAACATTAGATTGAAAAGAACAAGAAGTTCAGCAAAGATGACGATCTTTTCGGCGATTTCATTCTCAAAAGCTGTACAACTGCATTTATATAGATTAGTTTACATGGATACAATTATTATTTGTTTAATTCCACATAGTAACGAAGGCGATAATATTTTTCAACTTCATATGAAAGTTTGAAGGTACGAATATAGATCACAAGGGGCTTAGAGACAAGAGTGCATAGGTTTGGAAAACAGTTACAACGTATGCAAAATTAATATTTGATAACTGGAGAAATAATTTTAAAAGCGAATAAAAGGTGATAATTATTTTCAACTTGATATGAATTACAAGAGTCTTAGAGACAAAAATTACGCAGGGATAGAACGAATTATAGGTGTGAACATTGGAGCATGGAAACAAATTGAAATCAAAATTTTCAACTTGAAATGTTAGTTAGGAGGTATGAATATAGATTACAAGAGGCATAGAAACAAAAAATTACACAGGATTAGAATATAATTGTAAAGTGGTTATTCTAAACGGATTACAAGTGTGATCAGGAGGAGCATGGAAACAGACTTAAAATAACTGATTTTATAACTGATTAAATAGAATGAATTGAATGAAGGCAAAGAGAGAAAATTACACACAGAGATAACAAAACAAAAAAAACTGAAGGATAAGGGAACATATCGAACTAGGTTCAAGGTAGTTGTAAAGGTTGGACTAGTTTCTTTTGAACACATAGCTCCGGCTTTTCGATGCATGTGGCGAGAGCTTCTGCAGTGCAAAGAAGTCGGAAACACGCTGACTGCCTTTGGTAGATTTTTGCTTACTTTGTAAATGACTCTAAATGATGAGTCGGTTGAGATTCTGTGACAGTCATTAAAACATTAACATGGAGTCATCGCTTGTCAGTTTTAGTTAATCTCTATGATATAGTTATTTAATTCCGCTCATATCGACGTCACGTTAGACGGTAAAATTAAACTTGAGCTAAAGAAAAGAATTTTTTGTCAGTTCTCACCTGAGTGTTATCCTGTAAGGCTTCGGTTAAAGTAGAATTTAGCTACTTAAGAAAATAATAGTAGTTTATTGTTATTTTTTCTGAGGAAAGTTCTACAGAAACATTCAAAACTTGCTAAATGCAGATTGAATTCCGAAAGGCATCTTTAATAGATTTCTACGTCTTACAGTTATCAGGTAAGCACATCGAAAAAGAATTGAATTTTTCCTGGAACTCGTTGCACAGTCAGTTGTTGTCTATCAATCTGACAAAGAGAACGTCAAGAAAAAACTTCAGTTGCTGAAGTCTCAAATATAAATAAGTTACTTACTTAGAAAGAAAGTTGTTACCTAATTTCCACCCAATATTTAATTAGAAATTGTAGTCTGGAATCACATAGAAAGAACTCTGGGTCGTAAGTGTTAATTACTTATAACTCAGCTATGCAGAATATATTTTTCACATACCAGACTATGAGCCGCGCACATTTTGTTAGCGCTGATCATACTACTCTAGAGGCAGGATTGGAATCCATTGGCTAAATATCGAGTGCTAAAGTCGATGAGCTACATTTTCACAAATTTAAGTGTGATTTTGTAACAACAAAAGACAAGGACCAGGCAATAGACCGTTTATTGAGAAAATCAAGAGATATTTATAGATTTTTATGTACATTGTTGTCAACGGAGAAGCAATGTCTTCTTATTGGTTGTTTCCTTGCTGAAGGTAATTCTGTACTGCTTGTGACCGTTTCTTAGAAAGCCATATGTATGCGAATTGTATTTGCACATGTTAAGTCTACTGTGATTGGTTGTTGAGTTCCTCAAGGTTAAGCTTTGTTATTGTTTTTTTCTCATGACCCCGATGAGGGACGTAAACATTGACGTAAATTGTTGTCTACAGTTTTTCCTTGCAGACAGCTCTCACCACAATGGTACAGTGAGATAAGATCCAAAATCTCAGACACTTAGATTATTTTTAAAAGAGAACTTTGATCACAACTGTGTGTTTATGAAAGTAAAATATAATTGCATGGAACTGGATTTTTTTTATCATAGAAATAGTCAATTTGATCAATATCAGTCATTAACACATATGATAAATTATAACATCTTGTTCTGGTCATCTTTGAATGGTGTAGTCTAGGATGGTTTCAAACATGCATGTGGTTAAAAAGCTGACTGATTTCCTAAAAGTCAGGTTTATTGTTTAAATTCATCATTTTATCATTTGCCAGTGTATTTGGATATTTCGTTGCTTCGTGTCTTTGATTTCTTTTCGGCAATATAAACTGATACACCATTCTGGGACTTCTTGTTACTATTTATTGTTTACCTCCGCGCCAAGTAAACAACATTATTTCAGTGGCGTACAATGTGGTCTTAGTTTCTAAAGTACTTTTAAACCCTATTCATCTATAACTAATAGCACAATGTATATAAAGAATTCTATAACAATCTGCAGCTATCAGTTATTATTCAAACTAATAGTTTCTTGATATGAAAGTTTTTAATACTGCTTTGAATCAATTCACACTTATGTAGTATGCACAAATTAAAGTGTCTATATTTGGCATGGTATCATCAGTCATCTAGTGTATTATTTTGCTTTCCTTCGTGTTGTACTTTATTCTGTTATCGTGTTTTTATTAATTTAGAGTAACCGTTGTTAAAGATAAAGAAAGTCGTAAAAGCAAAGGTGTTGCTTTTGTTTTATTCCTGGATAGAAATGATGCTCGGAATTGTGCGGACAAACTGAACAATGCACAGGTGAGTGTATATACATGTTATTATTGTTATTATTATTCCCTTGCGTTCCGAATGGAATATACGGCTTCAACAACACATCTACACTTTGTCCTATCTTCTACCGTTCTCTTCAGCTGGGTCCACGATTGACCAAACTCTCGTCCCTTCCTCGCTCACACGATCTCCTCCATGTCACCTTCTCATTGACAACCCACTCGTCACTTCCTGTTTGGATTTCACTCGAGCGATGGCCTGCATTGCGCGCGATATCAATCGATGGTCTCCTCAATGTATGACCGATCTATCTCCATTTTCTACATATTTGTTGAGCGATATGCTCTTGGTTGGTTTGTTCTCAGCCAGCCAGAGTTTCTTGTAACTGATTCTTTCTGGTCGGCCATTTGATCTTCAGTATGGGGGCAGTGAAGGGGGCAACTGTTGATCAAAGTGTGAAGTGACCTGTTGGAAATCCTTTTGGTGACATGCAGTACAAGTTTCTGACCTAAATAGGAGGCCGGACTTGACATTTATATATATATATATATATATATATCGACTTTTTGTTAGTGTTATGGAAGTAGTATTTTTATAATGGATTTGAAAATTTGTCTTGTGACAAATCGTAAATTTATAGCCAGTGTCGTAAAGGCAAGAGAGACTTTCATTAATCCTAAATCGATGTGGAAATCTACTGCACTTGGCATATCGAACAAGATTCAGATCCTCAACAGTAATGTCAGGTGAATCAGTGCCTCTGTAACAACAGAAGACAAGGGCCAGTCAACAGATCGTTTATTAAGGAAATCAACACATATTTATAGATTTTCATGTACAGTATTATAGATTATTGTTAGTAGACAAACACAGTCTTCTGATTGTTTTTTTTTCACTGAAAGTTAGTCTTTCATCTCTTTGTGGCTGTTTTTTGAATGTCAGATCATCTATCTGTGAATTGTATCCGTCTACGCAAAGTTTGCTGTGATTGGTTGTTGAGTCAGTCTTTGTTCTTTTTTCATATGACCAATATTTGGGACATAACCATTGACGTAAATTACTGTCTACCAATTTGGCTAGCAGCCAGCTCTCACCACACCTCTATTATAGTTCAGAGGCTTGGAGAGTCACAAAAAATATTTCCAACAGGCTGCAGACTTTTCATCAACAGCTGTCTTCATTCAATACTAAAGATCACATGATCAGGAAGAACTCTGGCAACCAACTAATCAGCGCCACAAATATGCCGAATAAAGTGGAGATGGATTGGACACACTCTGAGAAGACCGTTGAGTGATATCAGTTCCTCGACTGGGGCCCTAATGGGAAACGACAAGTGGTGTTTAAGGGTGACATGGGACAGATCGTGTAAGCCTATGGGGAGTTGTGGTGCCACCTATAAGGACGACAGAGAACTTTTTGAAATCAAGATATACTGCCGAAGCCCTATTTCCCACTCGAAACCCAAAGGGATTGAAGATAAAGTTCTATAAAGTTTTATTTTGGTAGTTATAAGCAGTTTTGTGTAAGTTTAGCTGTGAGCACCCTTATGTGATTTATGATCCATGAATTGAACTCGAAATGTAATCAGTAAATAATACTGTATCAGTGTGTTTTTTATCAACTGAAATTATTATACGATGGGAGTTATTGACTAACTTGAAATTTTTATATGTATTAGAACTGAAACTTGAGGATTTAATCTCTTCGAATAATCTAAATTTAAAGCTTATATTCTTTTCCAACTATTATCTAACACTTCCCGTAATTCACTAAACAGATTCCTGTGTTCAGCTAAAATTCCCTTTCCGATTGCGATTGTTTAATTATTGTCAGCATTATTTATTTATATATTTCTTTCTTTTTCAGATGTTTGGTCGTACATTGAAAGCGTCTATTGCTCGAGATAATGGTCGTGCTGCTGAATTTATTCGTAGACGTGAATATCCTAACAAATCTCGATGCTATGAATGCGGTGTAAGTTATTATTTTTTTGTGTAACTGTTTTGTTAAACGTCTATTTAATATGGGAGGGGGTAAGTTGTGTAGCGAAATAAAATTATTTCTTTAAGCAGAGAACATATCGAATTCTTCTTTTATTAATAATAATAATAATAATAATAATAATAATAATAATAATAGCTTTATTCCAAAAACAGTACTCATGATACAGCAAGGAATTTTCAGCATTCAGTACAATATTGCATCTAATTTACTCAAAAACGACAAAAAAATTAAAAATACACATTACATAATAGTAATAAAACGATTGTTACAGCAGCTACATAGCAAAATACTGTATGCCATACGGAGAAAAATATGCATAAAGTACAAAATTGTAGTAATAATAGTAATACCAACTAAAATAAAATAGCAGAGTAAGAATTAAACGATAGAAAGTGTGACACCATAAAATACAGAAAGATGAACGATGAAAGGGTCGATTCACTGTGCTAATTACATAGTAACTTGTAAGTTTCACGTCTAACAGAGTCTTCGTCACATAAAGTACGGGCTAAATAGGGTATTGTAGAATTTCTATACTTAGTGGTACGAGCATATAACTTTTTATATTGACTTCTCGTCCTACCTGATGAGATACAAGGGGACAGGTGTGAATAAAGGGGGTGCAGAGGGTCTGACATTATAGCCTTTGCCCATTTCGTACAGGAATTTATATGCCTCTCGACTATAGTATTAGCGAGCTCATGCAGTGGCAGACCACAAGCTCTACTCACAGCATTTAATACTCTTCGTAATATGATATAATCTTTTTTGAGAAGCCCAGGAAAGATTAATGGAGAGCAATAGAGTACAATAGGTAAAATACAGGAGTTTAAAAATTGCAAAACTAAAGGTTGGTTGATACCTGATTGTCTTAACTTTTTAATGTAGAAGGTAAGACGAAACATTTTCTTAGAGATAGATAAGATATGGGATGACCATGAAAGGTCAGAGGAAAAACTAATCCAAGGTATTTAATGCTTGATTTGGTTTCAATTTCCGTGCCATCTATGCTACAGGGATCATGAGAGTTAACTAGTTCAAGTAAGTCACGTCGATGCTTGAAAGTAAAGTCAAGTGCCTGACATTTGGAAGGATTTAATATAAGACCATTTGACTTGGACCAGTTGTTGATGTCCAACAGAAAGCTATTAAGTTTGGAGCTGTCAGACTCGGAAGTGATAGGCAGTGATACAGTCAGATCATCTGCATATTTGACAAAGTTAGTTTCGTTTGAATGAGGCAGGTCATGTAGGAAGAAAGAAAAAAGAAAAGGAGAGAGGACAGCACCTTGTGGAACACCGGATTTTGTAAGCGAGGTAGAAGAAGATTTGCCGTTATATACAGTATACTGCATTCTATCAGAAAAATAGGAATGCAACCAACTCTTAGCCCAGGATCCTGTTTGTGTCAACGATAGCTTATTTAATAAAAGGCCCCTAGGTACAGAGTCAAAAGCAGATGTGTAGTCTAAGAAAGCACTACGAACATATTTAGCACCTTTGTCTAAACAAGAGACAACATTGTGATATAAGACAACCGCAGCATCCAAGGTACTTCTACCATGTTTGTATGCAAATTGTTTAGGATCATTAAAAGGTTTCAAAGCGGGTTCAAGACGAAGTAAAAGTAATTTTTCCATCAATTTTAAAAAGGGGGAAGTAATTGCAATAGGCCGAAATTTAATATCAGAACCAGAAGATGGTTTTGGTATAGGGATAATTTTAATGTTTTTCCATGCAAAAGGTAGAACGTTACCGGAAAAAGAAGCATTAAAAATGTTAGTAAGAGGATAACACAAAATATCAGCACAATTCCTGAGGACAATGGCAGGTATGCCGTCAGGACCAAGGCTTTGAGAAGGCTTAAGAGACCGGAGACATTTAAGCACATCAAGGGTATTAAAACCACTAAAGTTATTGTCAATATGATTTGTATCATTTGGAAGGGTATCAACAGAAGAGCGTATGAAAGATTTATTAAGAGTGTCAACATTAAGAGATGGAACAGAAATACATCGCTTACCGTTAGTAATTTCTTTGAAAAGTTTCCATAAATTAGAAGGGGTTTTACATGACAAAAATCTTTGATTATATAAAACATTTAGTCTTTTCATTTCCAGTTTTATCAGAATGTTTAACTTTTTTACACCAGGCTTATCATTAGTTTTGAACAACAGTTCTTTATTTCTACGTAGCTTTTTGAGATATGGCGAAGATAAGCGATCAAATCGAATGAATAATGTTTCTTTAGGACAACATATTTCGAAACAGAATTTAAGATAATCGGTAGTGTTTGTGATTGTTTCATCTAATGTTTGTTCTGTAAATAAGTCCCAGTTAGTGTCTTTCAACATGCATCTGAGCTTGTCTAGGTTGTCTTTTGAGTAGCATCTCCGTTGAACTTTACTGTAGAGGTGAGAGAGGACACCTTTGTGTGATTTGGAATATATTTTAGGCAGTACACGTATGATGCAGTGGTCAGAATTAAGTAAAGGAGCACGTTTGCGAGCTTCATATATACCAACATCATTGATAAATACTAGATCCAGTTTTTTACCAAGACGGGTGGCAAAGTTAACAATATTGTCATGACCAAGTGATATAAGGAAGGAGCAATCGCTTCCATTGAAGTCGCCAGTTACTATTGATAAAGAGTTCTCGAAGCAAGCTGCAGCAAAAGCGGTGAATTCATCGGCGAACATAGATAAATCCAATATGGTACAGCCAGGAGAGACATAAACATTAGAAATATAAATGAATTTGTATTTTGACAGGTGTTTCGGGCGACATCTCACAGTGATGCAATCAATGAAGTCATTCGAGAATTTGAAACAAACTTTGTTAGAAATGGACCATTTTGAGTGAATAAAAGTTGCAACACCTCCACCACATTTTTTCTTGGAACAAACACGGTCTTGTCGAAAAACATTGAAATTGTTTAGAGACACAATATTGTCATCGTATGAGTCATGGAGCCAGGTTTCTTGTAGAGTGACAATACCAGTATTGTGGTAAGTTCTAGAAGACAACAGGGACTGAAAATCCAGAATTTTGTTAGGCAGGGACCGGCAGTTGGTACTAATGATAACTGGAACAGTGGTGTGATGTATGGGTGTAGATTTTAAGGCACGCTGCCAACCTCCATGGTGCTTTTTCTTGAGTTTATTGCAAATATGAAAGTTTTTGGGTTTAAAACGTTTTATAAAATCCCGGGAGTGGATAATACGATTAGAATGCATAATGTGATATGTAAATACCAATAAAATACGAGTAAATAGATGCAAAATGTACATGGAATGTGGTAGCCCAAAATGTTCAAACAGGCCGCCAAGGTCATTCAATGTTGTTTAATGCATGTAGTTAAGTAGATTCAGTCGAATCACTTTTCAAAATTCTTACAGACGACTTCATCAATGCAACTATTGCAAATTCTTGTCAGTAGCACACTCTCCAGTAAGGCATATGATAGCCATTTTTTCGTCTTCTCATTAGTTTACAAGTATATAATAACAGTGAGAATCAGCTTAAGTTCCCTGATTGTTGTCTTGACCTGTATATGATATAGGTCAACCTGTTTGTGGTCTCGGAAAAGTCAAGAACCAATGCCTGGGAATTGTTGGCAACAAGGCCTAAAATCTTTCGCATTACCACAGGCGTATTCGTTTCTAATTACAAAAGTTTTAAGCGTCTTTACTAATCATTACTCAGTCATTCTCACTGTTATATATGCTTTTTTGTCGTAGTATTTATTGTTCTGACTACTTTCTTATTAATTTACGCAGTTTCGGAGTGTTGCATAATGAAGTGACACACTTTTGTACTAAGTTCTGTTGAAGGTTGTGAAATCATTGTTTCTTAAATAGCATGTTTGAATCTCAGATTGCCATTAAAATGGAATAAACTACAAAAATATCATGACAACTTATTCTATGCCTTTGCGTTATGAGTGGAACATAATGTTTCAAAGTTTGCGCTTTGAAGTTTCAGTGTCGGGCAGGGTTGTTCTTTTACTTGCTGGGGTTGCTAGCTTCATGCCCAACCTTCCCTCTGCATGCATAGAGCTTACAACCGACTAAGCAAGGTTCGGCAGTGCATCCACCAGAAATCGGGCGTGGTTGAAGAGCATTCTTCCTTTGGACCACCGATGCATTAACTACCATGCATAACAGTATACGTACCTTTAAATTTTGCTTTTGTGCTGTTCTTATTATGCTGATGGGATTAACTTCATTATAAATTGCTGAACAGATATGGTGAATATGAACTGTTTGGTGAAAGTGCACATACTATGTTATGGACTCTGAATTTGTGTGCGTGTGTGTGCAAATTAAACTTTTCTCTGTGCTAGTCTCTGTCATTATACTGTTTACTATTCTTGTTGTTTTTCCTTTTACAGGCTTTTGGTCATCTCAGTTATAAATGTGATAAAAATTCATTAGGTGAACGTGAACAACCTGTAAAAAAACGGAAGATTCGCAAGAAGACAGAGTAAGTTGTAATCTGTTGCTGTGCATCTTTGATTTCCTTGTCATATTGGAGGGCAAATTCTATCACTTGACTGAAACAGGCATAAACAAACTGTATTGTTGTCGAAATCCGATTATGCATATTTCTCGTTTGCCTGCTGTCTTCAACAAATAGCAGTTGTCAATTGTGGTGGATTTTTCATATCCTGTCATCATATTTTAAGGTTAGGATTGTCAAGAGTAGTTGTTTCGAACAGTGAAGTACATATGTAGTGGATAGCAGTGGACTTATTCATATTGAAAATAATTGCATACTTTTGCGGTATCTTTGAAGATTTGGTTAGAAAATAATCTAAAAGGTACCTATATTACTCAGTTACCCTTTTTTATTGGTCTATATCTGTGCAGTTACATTTTTTTTATGGGAAAACGTCTGTATGCTGTTTGTTTTTAATCCTACAGAAATGTTGTGCTACTTATTTCTGATTTCAGTAGCGTGCTTAGTTAGACTTAATATTTCTATATGACTGTTTGAAGGTTTATGGTTGTGACATTTTATGTTTGTTTTCGACTCTCTCTCTCTTTCTTCAACTGTGCGTAAATTCCCTACTTCAGCATTTCTTCCATAGTTCTTGACTCTACGCTGGTTAATATTTTAAATTAGTTAGGTCTTGAGATTTTTCATAGTATAGTCGAAATTATGTTGCTTTTAAGGTAATATTCGTGATTAGTTGTCCCACTACTGAAATAATAATGGCGTCTAATAAACTGAGGAAATTAATGTCAAGTCAGATGCATCTAGAAAGTCACTAAATCTCTCTGAAAAATGAATCACTTCAAATCAATGTACTGGTACTTAAGTGGCAACTCTCAGTTCTCATTAGCGTAATCACCTAAGGTCCAGAGAGTTCAATTGAATTTTGAAACTATGGGCACTGGGTTCGAGCCTCGATGGGAACATCATCACTCACTGGGGATTGCAGGTACATCCAGCTGACGGGTCCCAAACAGGATGAAGTGTGCATACTGGATTCCACTGCTAGTCACCACGCACCAATTAGAGTTCAGGGAGTTTGTTAGTTGTCTAGACTAGGCTGTAAGAGAATTCATTATTTCATTTGGTGATATCATAGTATAGGTAGAAGTGCTCATTTTATTCCCATCAGTGTTTAGATGCGCATACCGAGTCCAGATTTAGTGACTTAAACAAAATTTGATTGTTGAGTGTATAGTATTTACTACTAATAAAAGTTTATAGTCTCTAATGAATGGAAAACAAAATCGTGTTGTTTTATTACTTAGTGCTAATAGCCTACTATCCTGAAATTGATAAAAGCAAAATAAATGAGACGAGGTTATTCCTGTGAAGGTAATGATTTCTATTGAATACGTTCAATCGCTCTAATGATTCTCATATGATATCTCGTTAATATACGGTCACTTAAGTGAACTTTGTGCGTCAGTGGCACAGCAGTAGAATGCTTGCTAACAACACATGTGGTTCGGGGTTCGATCCCCGGCCGATGCACTTCCAAACCTCGCTAAGCCAGTAGTAAGACTGGTTAAGAAGGAAGGATGGGGATGAGGCTAGCATCCCCACCCAGTAAAAACAAAACCACTGCTACTGAAAATTCAAAGCTCTGGCTTGAAGCCCTATGTTCCACTGCGAAAGTAAAGGAACAAAAGTAAAAGTAAGTGGATTTTAAACGTGTCCTCCACCTACAGCTTGTGCTATGGAGTAGTATCATTACCTCCAGTGCAATATGCGTGGCTCATAGCCTGGCATATGGATAACATGTTTGAGGTTAGGCGTCGAGTGCTAGGTAAACAGGGGAAATCAATCGACGCAGTCGTGAAGTTACAAAGACTGAGATGGTTAGGACATGTGTTACGTATGCCAAGTCATCGCCTCCCTCGACGAGCAATGTTAGCGGATATAGCGTCAGGCTGGAAAAAAGCTAGCAGCGGTCAAACAAAAACTTGGCACCAGTCAATGAAATCCACAACAGTTGGTCTAAGCCACGTAGGAAGGTGTAGACTTCCAGGCTGGGGTCCTCGGGACGGTAAAAATCAATGGTTGGAAACAATTGGTGACATGGCTGAAAATCGTTCTCAGTGGCTGGCGCAGATGCATCCACTCCTTGTGACTTATGATTTCCAATGAAACTGTTTTGTTCTTCGTTATTACTCTTCCTTTGTCTCACACCTCTGCTCACTGTCTCTATTATACTTTTCTTGTACTTTCTTCTCTTACTTCGCGTGCTACACGGAGTGTGGCGACTTGAACTTCCGCACATTTGTGCAAAGTTCTATGCCGAAAACAGATAGAATATGTTTCTCTCAACTGACTAACTAACTAGTTATTTTGCCCAAGAACTCATATATATTCAAGTGTTGGTTTGTAGGGATTTGATTGGTTTACAGGATTTCATCATGAGCTGACATTAGTTAGAGAACCACTGGAAAACCTAGGAGTACTGGACAGCCAGTTGTTTCGTTATAGTTTGGGACTCTTCATCAGTACCCACCCACCGGGATCCGAACTCAGGACCTTCCGGTTACAAGGCGAGCTCGTATACCATTAAGCCACTGGGACCCGATCCAATGGCCAGTCCATGAATTCTAACTTCTGCCAATTCATGATATAGCGCGACCGCTAGCCAATGTCTTCACTGGCGAGTAAATGTCCTCACACACGACCAGCTGCACCCTACTGGTCACGACTACTTACTAGAACCCCAGGAAGCAACCTACCTGAATAGGGCCAGTTGCCAGTGAGCATCTCATTGGTAGTCAAGTGTTGGTTTGTAGGGATTTGATTGGTCTACAGGATTTCATCATGAGCTGAAATTAGTTTGATATATGTATGATTTAATTGTCTACTGAATCAAAAGAAAGGCGCACTATTTTCGTTTGCGGGAAATGGTTTCTTTTCGTTTCAGATCGTTTCGTCTAACGACGTTTTTGTGCAAAGCTCTTATACAGGGAGATGATGAGTTGAATGCTAGTGACCAAATAACTAGCCAATCACGAAGCCCAGTGTACATTTTCATGTTAAGTCTGATTTTCACTTGAATCAGAGATTGTTTGTTCTGAGATGAGCTGAAATAAGACTATTCAGCAAAACAACACTAGTTTTTATATTAACAACAATTTCGATATGCGTAAATATTACTAGTTCGACTAGTTATAAACAAAATTGGTAGATAACTTCCCTATTTGATAATAGACCACCATTTCTTTACAATTTAAAGGTTAACCAATTTCACATACACCTTGTTTTGTTGTTGTAAAATTTTTTCACCGTAGGTCGCATGCATCTACCTCACATAGAAGAAGACAAGAAAATCATGATAGTGATGGTCCTGGAGATGACGAAGATGATGGAAATGATGATATAGATGATGAATTGGATAGTTGGAGTGCTGCTGTACAACATCAAGCAGAACTTTTTAATAGACAAACATCATCAGAATCTGTGACAAAGAAACGATGCATTCGACAAAACTCATATTTCTCAGACGAAGAGGATTTCGAAGAAGCATAAAACCCTTCAGTAGTCAGTTCTTCAATAGACTGATCTTCTTTCTTTCTCTCACTCTTTTCCTCCCTTGAATTTCTATGCTTCATTTGTTTTCCATTCGATGTTTTGTCATCCTTTGTTGTAGACTCTGTGAACAATTGAATGTGGACGTGATGACATTCGAATTCGTATTGAGAGGAATACTTTCTACAGAATTTTATTTGTAAATAGACCCCCCCCCTTTGTGGTCATCAATTCATATATTTGTATTGAAGAGTGTAAATAAAAACTGTCTTCATTACTGATAAATTCTTAGTTTGTTATAATGTAACAACAGAAGACAAGGGCCAGGCAACAGATCGTTTATTAAGGAAATCAACACGTACTTATATATATTTCATGTACATTATTATAGCTTATTCAAGCAAACAAACACAGCCTTCTGATTGGTTGTTTCTTGCTCAAGGTTATTCTGTACTGCTTGTGACCGGTTTCTCAGAAAGTTAAGCCATATATCTGTGAATCGTATTTGCCCATGTGATTGGTTGTTGAATCAGTCGTGTTCATATTTCCTCACGGCCAATATTAGCGACATAGACATTGGTTAGCAGCCTGCTCTCAACACAATAATGATAACTTTATTCTGGACAGTATATGTAAAGTGTACAGAATTTTCAGGGGAGTTTATTGCATGATATTTTCCCTTCGTACAATCTTTTGAAGTAAAACATTAATTGACAGTATATCCTGTGACACAATGGTCTCGGTGAGCTGAAGCGCAAACCTTTCCATTATGTGATATATCTGCTTTGTCTCCTTCGAAAAATCTACGATTTCTGGTTGGAAGCCATTTGTAAGATGTTCTGAAGTACATTTTGAGACGCAAGGACATAAATGAAAAACAGTTGTCTCATGTGTTGAGATACATTGACACACACACAATCAGGCTATTCCTCAAGTTTACTAGGAACTTGCGAAACAGAAGCTTGTAAACATTTTAAATATGTACAAGGGTAGATATTACCAATAGAGGTTATTTCTCAACCGATTAAAACAAACCGAATGAGAGAAAATATATGCAGTGGAGAGATGGAAGTTTTTGGTAGCCCAAATTCTAAGCAGGCTTCCAACGCTGAATGGGTAACCGTAAAGCAGTATTCCTAATTAAGGAGTCGTAACCGAAGCAATTTCTAACAATAATATCGCTCGCATTTACAACACTGCCTTGTGAGACATAATCGTACATTGCTGCATATTAAAGCTTTATGGAAAGTGGGTAGGTGATTGATAGACAATTTTTTTAGAAGATTAACCGAATGCCTAGCAGGTTAAATGGATTTTAAATAAATCAACCAGAGTAGTTAATTTCTCTGTCTATTAGAATTTAACCGTTCTACTCCTTCCTACTTTTGCATAAACAAACCTTACCCAGTTAATAATACTGTAATAATGTATGTTATGTCAAATAAACTGATCTAATATGGAATCATACTCTGTACCTCATTGCTTAAGTTTTTTTGTCACATTATTTTAGTATTTTAGCTGTGACTTCAGGAATGTTCTTACATACTACATTTACTACTGTTTCTGAGGACGGTGGTTTAGTTATCTAAGGTCAGACAGGTCTGTAAGTATGGCATATGCTTTGCGTCGTCCAAGTGCAAAGTACTGTTATAAGATTGGCAGGAGCCTGTACCTGCACTTACTCTTGCGGGTGAACCGCTTGAAGTTGTTGATAAGTTTGTGTACCTGGTTAGTTGTGTGAGTGCTGGCGGAGGGGTGACGGATGAGATTTCCAACCGTATAATGAAGGCTAGGGTGGCATACATCAACTCGAGCCATCTCTGGTGCCGTCGCGACGTTAGCCTGGCTGTCAAAGGTCGGGTATACAATACTTCGGTGCGGGCTGTCTTGCTATACGCCTGTGAAACCTGGCCTCTCCGAGCTGAGGATGTGAGGCGACTCTGCGTGTTCGATCACCGCTGTCTCCGCAGGATTGCTTGGGTTCGACGGCATCATCGCGTGAGTAATTCTGAGGTTCGTTGGCGTGTGTTTGAACACAGTGGGGATCATTCATTGAGTGTCGTTATCTGGAAACACCGGCTCCGGTAACTTGGTCTTCTGCTGCGAATGTCACCCCAGAGGCTTCCGTACAGGTCTCTGTTCGCTGGCCAGCCCTGGGACGGGATGGAAAAAACGGAGAGGTGGTCAGTCCATGTCGTGGGATGAAGGATTTTTGTGCTAGATTAGCATCGATTGGTGTGTCACGATTCCGAGAGATAGCTCAAACCGATGGCTCGAAACGTTATCGGATATGGCCAAGAATCGTAATCAATGGCAAACGTGTTGCGATTTCCTTCTTTCTTCCCTTCCCGGTGATAGTTAACGAACACTGTTTGAACTTGTTTAAGCATGACTGTCTTCCTTCCAGATGAAGTTCTTTATCCGTTCTCTACTTATATTTTTTTACTTTTGATCTATGTTGTTTTATTATTATTGTGTGGCGCATCCTTCTTGGTGCCATATTGTACCAAGTTTTTTCCTGCGTTTAAATAATAATAAGGTCAGACATCTTTTGATCAAGTTGCGTGGGCGTCGATCTTTCTGAAGGATCCATTGTTTCTTCTTTATTCTTCTTAAGGTACGAATACTGAGATTCATCGTCGCTCTTTTGAATAATGTTTGTTACATGGCTCCTTTGAGTACTGTTGTTACTGAGTTTGTTTGTTTGACCTCTTCCTGTATGTCTGTGTTTACAGTCTTATCTTATTTAACTAAGCGATATAGGAACACGATTTGGTTGTTTGATTCACCTCACGTAGATTCAATTTTGATAGTGTTATTGTGTAAGTTGTGCTTTCATACGGTGACAAATGCGTTATTACGTAATGCACTCAGATCTTTGATTTGATTATTGATGGGATTAGGGCTTCTATATTTTGAAATAAAGCTTTGGTAACTATTCACTATGCAGACAGTTGTTGTTCCAGAGGCTGAATGGTCAGCGGGTTCGTCGTGTAAGTTGAATTTCCTGGGTTCCATTCACGGTGAAGTCGTGTGTTCGTACTGCTAAAGAGTTCCAAACTAAGATCAGATAACCATCCGGTACCCCATAGTTGTGTGCGTGTGTGTGCCGGTGGTTCAGTGGTAGGATGCTCGCCAGCTGCACACATTCTCCTCAGTTCCGTTCCTAAAAGACGCGTCCGTAAACTTCGTCTAGTTCACCAGCTATAGTAAGCGCGGTAGAAAGAGAAGGTCGGTTATCTCGCTAGCAACCCCATCACATAAAAACCACACGACTGCTGCTGAAACTCCAAAACTTGAAGCACTAGGTTCTACTCGAAATACAAACGAATGTAAGAAAAATCTTAGCAATCCCACTGGTGTCCATTTCATTAGTTCATATATTCTACTGTGAAATTGCAATCGCATTACTAAACGTAAATTAGTTAGCTGCATACATCTTGAATGTCAGACTTTTGTATGTTTATCATTATTAAGCAGCTAAGATATGCTCTCTTGCCATTTTTCGGTTACTTGGAAGTGTACAAGGTCATGACATTTAAGAACCACATTATTCACCTCTCCAGTCGTTTTGTGTTTGTTTGTCTGTAGAATTTGAGATTCTGTGAACTGATTAGGTGTTTTAGGTATCTTAATTTCCTTTAGAATTCTTCATGTTCAATGTAGGTGGTTCGTGAGGGTGAAACCGTTTGTCAAGAATTTATATGTACAGTAGAGCCGGAGTAGATTACATCCGTTAGGATTTATTCAACAGCAGCACTGTTTTGCGATTCTCCGCGCTTTGAACAGTCCACTTATTATCATTTGATTAGATCAACTTATACGACGTGCTGGTATAAGTTATTGTCTTCGGATAAGTTCTCAAGCTTCTTATTTTAGTGCTTTTCAATGGTTCTCTAACTGATATCAATCCGTGATCAACTCGTAACATTTCTTATTTCACTAAATCTGAGATTGTTTTTTTATAATAAATTATTCGCTCTTGTTTTATAGTTCGTGTTTTATCGGTTGAACTAAATTGATCATTGACCTTAATAAATCTAAACAATGATGGTATGGATAACTTCATCTGGTTGTATGTAGGTATCTAATTATACACATATCGGTTATGTTACTACAAGCATCATTTCATTTAAACGTTACGATACATTATTCTGTGAGTTTAACAAATATATTTTCAGTGTTGGTTTGTAGGGATTTGATTGGTTTTAGGATTTCATCATGAGCTGACATTAGTTAGAGAACCACTGGAAAACCTGGGAGTACTGAACAGCTGTCTCGTCAGCCTAGTTTGGGTCTTCACCAGTACCCATCCACCGGGATTCGAACCAAGGACCTTCCGGTTACAAGGCGAGCTCGTTTACCATTAAGCCACTGGGACAGGATTCAATGGCCAGCCCATGAATTCTAACTTCTGCCAATTCACGATATAGCGCGACCGCTAGCCAATGTCTTCACTGGGGAGTATTTGTCCTCACACCCGACCAGCTGCACCCTACTGGTCACGACTACTTACTAGAACCCCAGGAAGCAACCTACCTGAATAGGGCCAGTTGCTAGTGAGCATCTCATTGATATTCAAGTACAGCTGTGCAGTACTCCCAGGTTTTCCAATGGTTCTCTAACCAATGTCAACTCTGATGAAATCCTGTAGACCAATCAAATCCCTACAAACCAACACTTAAATATCAATGAGATGCTCACTAGCAACTGGCCCTATTCAGGTAGGTAGTTACCTGGGTTCCAGTGAGAAGTCGTGACCAGTAGGGTGCAGCTGGTCGGTGTGAGGACAAATACTCCCCAGTGAAGACATTGGCTAGCGGTCGCGCTATGTCGTGAATTGGCAGAAGTTAGAATTCATGGGCTGGCCATTGTATCCTGTCCCAGTGGCTTAATGGTATACGAGCTCGCCTTGTAACTAGAAGGTCGTGAGTTCGGATCCCGGTGGGTGCGTACTGATGAAGAGTCCCAAACTAGGCTGACGAGACAGCTGTCCAGTT